GTTGCATTTAAGGGACTTCTTCTGGAGCTCCTAGGCGGGTTCGTAGAGGCCTAACATGTGCCCATCAATACAACGCATGGATGCAACCTGGACACAAGATTGTTACATGAAATGCTGCATCCACAAAAGAAATAATAGAAAAATAAGTTACGTCAAAGTTCTTGTTAGAATTTCGGTCATCACCTTGCCATGAATTTCATATTTGATGGGGCCATCTAGCTCAGCACCTAAAGCCATTAGTTTTGTCATTGTTTGATTAATGTCCTTCACTGTGAAAGACAGAAGTGAAGAGTATCCCATTCGATTCTGCATGACATGATCACTGTGAAACTTGATTAGCAGCTACCATTTTCGATCAAATAGGTCCTTTATCTCCACAACCATAATTGTTTTATTGTTTAATAAACAGAAAACCCAGTGACACCATGTTAATAGGATCAAAATCTAAGAACCAGAACTTCATTTTTATGTCAACACACAAACACATACAAAATGTAATATTTCATGGCAATGGGTGAGTAAACAACTCTTGTAGACAAATAAGCAAACAGGTAGTGTGCATAAAACTCCCAGTCTTGGGCAGAGAGAGTTACTTGGGGGATTGCATGAGGGCAAGTTTGAGTGGGCCGGACTGAAGCTCAGCCCAGCGAAGAGTACAGACATCGACGGTGAAGTCCAAGCCTTCCGAGTAGAACCGAGCAGCTTTTGGCACGTCCTTGTGCAGCTGTAGTATCCACCTAAACGACGCCCCTGCCATCTCTCTCTCACTCTATGGAAAGCTGGGAGGGACTATAATATGTTGATGAGTAGGTAATTCTTGTCTTTCTTTTATTTTTGTCTATACTTCACTAAATAAATATGATCAAAATATTTAGATAATTTAAAATCATTTTGTTAAGCTTTATTTTTGTTTCATCATATGATATGATGACAAGAATTTTTTTATTATTTTATACAAGCGATTTTGGAGAACTACAAACCCCTTACAAAATTGGCAATTTTTTACACGTTAGTTTTAACTTCTAAGTGATTCCATAATGTGAGTTCAAAAAACTTATTAAACATACAATTTAGGGCTTTTTTTAATCACTGGAAGAGGATTCAA